GCCACCGCGTCGCGCGCACGCGGGACGCGGTAACACTAGGCGTTTGTGACGCGACACCGCAGCGCCGCGCTATCGCATTACTTGCGATTGATCAGCAGTCCAATCAGCACGCCGACGCCGGCGGCGATGCCAATCGATGTCCATGGATGATCGTGGACATAATCGTCCGTTGCACGAACCGCCTTCTTGCCTTTTTCGACGACCACGACTTGGACATCGGCCGCCTTCTCCTTTGCCTGCTTCAGGCGGGTGAGCGCCTTTTCACGCAATTCGGTCGCACGTTCGCCGGTCGTGCTCGCGGCTTGCTTGAGCAGGTCCTCGGTGTCCGACAGGACGGTTTTGATATCCGACATGAGTTTCTCCTTGTTGATTTCCGGCATGACTGCTCCTGCGACAACTTTGCCGTTACCAATATCGTAACGGAACTGTGCAGCCATGGCGAGTGCACTAGCCCGCCTCGCGTTTTTGATCCACCCGGGTCAACTCAGCTCGAGTTCGCCGAGGAAGTGGCGTGCGTAGCGCTTGTTGATGTCAGCAAGCCTGAACAGCGTAAGAAAGTCGGCAACGTTGAAATCAGGATCCCATGCCGGTGCGCCACAGATCTTCGCGCCCAGCCGTAGATAGCCCTTGACCAGCGGTGGAGGGCAGGCTGGGCAACCGGTTGCGAGCTCACCGGCCGGCAGCGGCGTGTGCGGGAATGCCCGGTATTCCGGCGCGGTCATCGACGTATCGCGCAGCGACACAAACAAATTGGCGGCATAGTGACCGCCGTCGCCCATCGGCACGCTTGCGCATCCGAGCATCGTTTCGTAGCCGTTCTGCAGCATGTATGTCGCCAGGCCTGCCCATAGCGACATGATCACCGAGCCGCTGCGATAGTCCGAATGGACACACGAACGGCCAACTTCGACCATCTTGGAGCGCAGATGCGTGAGTCTCGACACGTCGAATTCGCTTTCCGCGTACAGCTTACCGACGCGTGCCGCCTGGTGCGGTGGCAGCACGCGATAGGTTCCGACGACCTGCAGCGTATCCAGGTCACGTACCAGCAGGTGGTCGCAGTACGAATCGAATTCGTCCACGTCCTGCCCTTCCGGGCCTTTCAGCTGCGCACCCATTTCCTCTGCAAAGACCCAGTAGCGCAGCAGCTGTGCTTCGCGCAGTTCTTCTTCTGTCCGCGCCCAGGCTACGCCAAGACGATGTTTTCCAGAAACCGTCTCTTGCGGCCGAGGAAGGCTCCTGCGGGAATCGAGCGGAATGGACGCAAGCGGCAGGGTAGGATTCGGCAGCTCTCGCATTGGCGTGTCCTGTCAAAATTACAGAATGGTTGCGTGCAATATAGGAATCAGCGGTGACGTGTGGGTGACAAAAACAGGATGATCCGATGACAACATACGCAATCGACGCGAATCACACAAGGTCCGGATTCACGACGGCGTGCAGCACGACCTGCGTTTCTTCGCTCATGGCGGGCGCACCGAGTGCAGCCTGACAGTTTGTACGCGTCCTCGTACGTGCCGTTGCCGCGTTCGCAGATTGACGTCATACCGATTGTTCTACTAGAATTACACATTCGGCGGAGCGTAGCGCAGCCTGGTAGCGCATCTGATTTGGGATCAGAGGGTCGTAGGTTCGAATCCTATCGCTCCGACCAATAGAATCAACAAATTACAACACGATCCAATCCGGCTGTCTGATACAAAGAGGAGGCAAAGTCGGATCGTTGTCTGATAAATTACTGACTTTCGAAGTGTGCCATCTTTGGCGTTCCCCCCTATGCTGATTTCGCAGTCGGCCTCGTCGACCGGAAATTGACTTGAAGCGGCGCTATGCGCCGCTTCAAGTCAATTTCCGTCGTCTTTGCGTTAGTGCGCGGGCCTGTCCATGGATTCGTCCAGAATGGCCCCCACATTCTTTGCGTCCGTTGCTGCTTGCTAGCGGATGTCTTTTGCCGCGTAATTGTCGGCCGGATTAACTACGCCGCCATGCAATCGACATGCCGAAGAATTCCATTTTCTGGAGTCGGGCCTTGCACGCATGCTACTGGCGCAGCGCGTGCAAGCGGTGGTCGGGTTGCTCTCGAGGACCTTTACCCGCTACTGCGGCGGCAGATAACGGCCTGGGTCGATCGATTTGCCGTTGTACCGTAGCTCGAAGTGCAGCGCGATCCGGTTGTTGTCGCTGTCACCCATTTCCGCGATTCTCTGTCCTTGCGTGACGTTTTGCCCTTCCTTGACGAGCAGTGCGCGGTTGTGCGCGTAAGCAGTCAGGAAATTGGCATTGTGCTTAATGATCAGCAGGTTGCCGTAACCGCGCAACCCATTTCCAGCGTAGACGACCGCTCCGGCAGCTGCAGCGACAACTGGCGTACCGGGTGCATTTGTGATGTCGACGCCTTTCGAGTCCACGCCATTGAACCGGCGCACGACGTCTCCGCGGGCCGGCCATATCAGTGCAATTGTGGTGGCAGGTGCCAAAGAAGGCTTGACCCTGGACGGCACGGTTGTGTCTGTCGCGCCAGCCGCGGAGCCCGCGTTGCGCAAAGGAGTTGCGGCCGTCGCGCGGCCCGGCGGTGTCACGCGCAGTATCCGGCCGACTTCGATCACGTTCGGATTAGCCAGTTTGTTCCACCGTGCGATCGAACTGACGCTTTGACCGTTGCGTTGTGCGATCCGGGACAGTGTATCGCCGTGCTTGACACGATAGAAGCCGGAACTCACCTGAGCGGAGCCGCACGCGGACAACAATAATGCGATGCCGCAGCACACTGTGCAACGACCCGTCGAGCCGACGGTGCGCGTTTGTTTGGAAATAGTACGGCACCAATCGGCAAACCTGCTTTTCATTCTCTGCATTGAACCTCGAGACGCCCGCAAGACCGTGACCAGACTATGCGAGCGGAGCATAAAATGCCTAATTCTACGTCATTCGTTGAATCGTACGTGGATTCGCAGTACCGCGCTTTCGCTTGCGTCGGGCGTGAGCCAGCGCAGCCCCAGTCCATTGTGGATAGCGTTGGGCAGCCCCAGCCACGGTTCGACACAATAAAAATCGGAATCCGGTTTCTCAGTCCATGTCGTGACCGCGTACCATGAGATGGAGCCCGGGCGCTGCAATTCCAGCGTGATCGCGCGGCGCAGAGATGGCGTGCGCAGCGTGATGCAAGCCGACGCTGATGGCGATTCTAATGCATGGAAGCGGTCGACGATGCGCATGTCGTCGAGGCAGTATTCGAGCGCCGCGGGTGCCGCCTCGGCGATCGTGCCATCGTCGCACTGATACAGTATCCGCGCTGGCGGCAGCGCGACGCGGGATTCGGCCCGCAGCGCGTGCGGCAGCGAGAAGTAGAAATGGTGGCCCGCATAGTACGGCAGCGGGATGTTGCCGGTATTCGTCGTCCTGAGTGTTACGTCGAGGGTGTTGCCATCGACCAGATGATAGATCGCATCGAAACGGAAACCAAATGGATAGCCGGCACGGGTTGCATCGCTGTCCGTCAGTGTCATGTCGATGCGTGCGTCGGCCACGTCGATGATGGGCTCGAACGGCAGGCTGCGGGCGAACCCGTGCATCGGCAACGCGCGCACGCCTCCGGCGCTGTCGCGCCATTTGCCGATTTCGCCGTCGACCCGATGCCGGCCGAGGAACGGAAACAGCAGCGGATTGCCGCCTCTGATCCGCGCTGGCTCGCTCCAATTCGCATCGTCCGGCCATCCGATCACATCGTGGCCTGCGACGCGCCAGCGTAGCAGGCGGCCTCCAGATTGCGGCGCCACCAGCAGGCTGGCGCGTTCACGTTCGAGTTGGATGACATCCTGATTCTGGAAACGCATGTTGGTCGAAACACCAATGCAGGGGCGGGCGATGCGGCCAGATGCGCCTGCCCCAGGGTTGTCGAATCCCGCCGCACGTGCCGGCCGCACCTGCGCACCGCGGCCGGCGTTGTGTGCGATCTGGCGAACGGACGAACGCGGGGCATCATGCCAAAAATGAGCCCGCGCGCCTGGGCTGGGCAGCCCCGGCGAGCATGATCCTGCCGCTTCGTCGCGCGATTCGTGCGGGTGCTGTCATTTTACGTGGAGGACTTTCTTTCGTGAGCCTTGTGTTTCTGATCTTCCTGAGTGTGTTGCAAGGTGTGACCGAGTTGTTCCCGGTCAGCAGTCTCGGGCACACGTTGCTCGTGCCGGCGCTGCTCGGCATGCACATCGACAAGCACGCACCGCAACTGCTGCCGTTTCTCGTCGCGCTGCACCTGGGCACCGCATTTGCGTTGCTGTGGTATTTTCGCAAGCGGTGGGTCTCGATCATCCAAGGCTTCTTCGGCGCCCTTGGCGGTCGCCGTACCGAGGATGGGCATCTTGCGTGGGCGTTGCTGATCGGCACGATTCCAGCCGGGATCGTCGGGCTGCTGCTTGAAAAACGAATTGAACACGTATTCCATGACCTGCGTATCGTCGCGTTTGCGCTGCTGGTCAACGGCATTTTACTGTGGCTCGGTGATCGGTTGCAACGAGCCCGCGTGGCGCGCGCACCAGAAGAGCTGACGTTCAAGCAGGCGGCGCTGGTCGGCATCGCGCAGATCGGTGCGCTGATCCCCGGTTTCTCGCGCAGCGGCCTGACGATGATCGCTGGCGTAGGCGTTGGCATGTCCGCGGAAAAATCGGCGGAGTTCGCCTTTCTGCTCGGCACGCCCATTATTTTCGGCGCGGGCCTGCTCGAGGTGCCGAAACTCTTTCAAGCGCCCGCACAACTCGCGGATGCGGTGCTGGGCGGGGTGCTTACCGGCATTGCTGCTTATCTGAGCGTGCGTTTTCTGATGCGTTATTTCGAAGGCCGCGGCCGGCTGGCATCGTTCGGCGCTTATTGCGTGATCGCGGGACTGGCTTGTCTTGGCTGGTTCTTCTGCAATCCCCAGTCACTGGCGTAAGTGTCGCGCTGTCGTGTATGCGAGCCGGCAGTCGGAATCGGCTCGCATGGTTAGGTTATAATCGAGAATCTGTCTGCCCATAGCTCAGTTGGATAGAGCATCGGCCTTCTAAGCCGAGGGTCGGGGGTTCGAATCCCTCTGGGCAGGCCAGAATTTGATTAAAAATCAATCGGTTACAATCTCACCAACTGCATGGGTTAGAGTCAAAAACCACTCTCATTGTGGCGAGAGTGTGGCTAAATTCTACCGCACCCGAGACAAATTTGATCTGCTAATCTGTCGGCCCGGCACCGGACGCGTCAGTACGTGCCGCATCTTCTCCGCCACAAAGTGGCATGAACCCAATTTCTGCTCTTACCGTCGGGTTTGCGCCGCGTTTCCCCCTTTTTTCCACGCCCGCAACGCGGCTTTGTCCGCGTTGCAGCGGTCTAGCTGCGCTCGCTCATCGATGAGGGCTTGCGCAAGGGCTCCGAGCGTTTTTCCCGCGGGGCGTGGGGCGTGTGCGCAGTCTTCTAGCAACAGAGGGGGCGGCGTCTGAAAAACGATGCCAAGAGCCTGCTGTGCGGTACAACCGGCTAACAGCAGCAGAGCAACCAAGCTACTGCGCATGGCTGGCGTCGCTGTAGATTGCGTCCCATATCGCATCGGGCACGACTGTACGTGCTGTGCCCGGACTTGCTACGAGCGCGGCAGATAAGCGAGACGAGCACGTAGCTTGCTTGGCCGCAGCGGCTTTTTGTGCATTTGCCTGTGCATCGAATGCCGCAGTAACGGACGACATAGCGGCAAGCGTCGCGGTTATTGATTAGAAATAGTTGATCTTGAAATATGAAAATTGGTTCCTATGTGGGGGGCATGGAAAAACGAGACATGAGATCGCTTGC